TTTGAACACTCCCAACTGAAAATAGTATCTGAATTTATTTGCTGATTATAATACTTGGTTGCAAATTATTAAAGGTGCATATGTGCAGCATTTTAGGCAGCAACTTGTGAGACACAGAAGCCAAGAATTTCAGTTATTTTCCAAAGTAATCAACATACATTTGATAAAATGATAGTCTCTGATCTTGAACTTGAACTGATTTTTCTGGAACTCAGAATCACCTCTGTGATCTCTTCTTGTATATGATAGCGTAATTAAAATATTCATTTGCCTCTTCTATTCTGTGAAACAAAACAGAACAAAAACATGAAATCAGTAGCTTTGTTTCCATTTGATAGGGAAGTTATGAAAATGCTTAAAAATACAAAAGCAAATTTGAAACAGAAGGGTTTTTTGTTTGTTTTCGATTGAAGTCAGCATTTTTGGAAGTAAAAAACAAAACAAAACAGAGACTAGTACATCTATACTTTGTACAGCAGGAATATGGTTATTATTCAGATGTATGCACTGCATGTTACAGATGCTTTATAATTTTATAAAACAAAACCACGCACACGCACACACACACGCACACACACACAATCACTGATTTTTAATCCTCAGTGCATTCTTGAGAATGGAGAGTGGTACTAAAGCAATTGCTCTACACCAAATAGTTACTGGGTATTTGATGTGAGTAATGCTATGCTGAAGATGGAAAGGGGCACATCCATTAAATGTGCTGCTGGCCAGTATAGGTAAGTGAACTCGGGTTGTGTGGTGGCCAAATTGTTCCACACTGGCCCTTGACTTCAGAGTATTGTAGTTTCACCATTTAGTTCTTATGCAATTTCAGTGCATGGGATTAAACTAAGCAGACTGATGACTAATAAGGAGTCACCGTTTTTGGCAAATGGATTATTTTCAAAGTCCAGTTTTATGGTTATTGGGAAAATTTTTAATACAGCTGAGTTCTTTTGGAGGTCGTAAAGATCAATATCTCTTTCTTACTTTCTATCGAAAACTCCCCGAGTGAGGCACTCATCCCCACAACCGAATCCATTGCTTCTTGTATTTCTTTAATCTTGATCTTGTTTAAAAGGAGCTTTATCCAGAGCACAATTTCTTCATTCATAACTAAATTTCTTTCAGACATTAAGACAGCTAATATGCAATTATATAATTAAAAGTCTTCTTTCATCTGGATTTTACTAAATCTATAACTGTTTTAGCCAGTAAAAGCAAATTATATTTTGGCCTCTAAAATGGATTTATATACTTTGAACATCTTTTGGGATGTATTTGCCCTTGAATTATGAGATAGAAAATACTTTCTGTGACTGGATCTGTTAATACCTGTGGAGGAAGCATCTGGTACCCTTGTTCTTGGGCTGGTGTTCATTCTACTGGCTGGAGTCACATTCAGAATTAAAGTGGGGATAAAAAGAGGTTTTTTTCCCCACCAAATGCCTTAGTCCTATTTTTATATAGCATATGATTATTTCTAACTATAAAAGTAGATATGATTATTGTGAAAGATTTGGGAACCACAGGAAAATGCAAAGAAAATAAAAATTATTCTATCCTTATTCTGTTATCTCTAATTAGCAACTATACACAAATGTTGACTTTTTTCATTCTAGTCTTTTTTTCTAGGTATAGATACTTTTAAACAAAATTGAGATCATATGGAACAAATCATCTTATAGTCTGCATTCCCAATGAACACTGCTTAAAAACATTTTCTCATTTTATTAAATATCTTACAGATTTTAAAAAACTTTATCCATTGCTGAATATTTATATTTTAAAATGTTATTACTTTAATGGAAAACTTCTTTGTACATATCTTTATGTATATCTTGGACTTTTTTTTACAGATAACTTTAATCTTTTAAAAATTTATTGGTTTCAAGGAATGACAAGTAATTCAGTTTCTCCTCTCTAGCAATTCTGGCTAAGTCCTCTTGTCTGCAAGAATTGTATCTTTATAACACCATCATGTTGGTCTGTCCGGAATGGTGCAGTAACGCTTCATTTATCTAACAACACCATTACGGAACTTCTCATAAATAAATTTTTCACGTAACTGAAACACCCTTAAAAGTGTCCATACTAGGTTATTGTAAAGTATGTGAGTGTGATTCTTTCTAAAATTAAATTACATATGTTGCTATCCTCTTTAACATAATGAAAGTATTTGAAAATCATAATTTAACCCCTCTGGTCTAAATCACAAGCGTCCTGGGACTTCCTTTGGTGGTCCAGTGGTTAAGACTCAGCGCTTTCACTGCATGGGGCTGGGTTCAATCCCTGGTCGGGGAACTAAGATCCCATAAGCCATGTGGCATGGCCAAAAAAACCCCGAAAAACAAAACAAAACACACAACACATAAGCATCCTTGTAAACACTAGTTATTATACAGTCAGTTCTGCTAAAATGCAATATATGTGTTTCTAAAAACCACCATGCTATGCAGTAAATCCCCCAGTGCTTAAGGGAAAAGTAGGATCAGGGACATAACACTCAAAAACCTTTATCAGTGAGGCAGCCCAGCACTGGAGCCTACCTGGGCTCTTTGGTGGGGCTGATGGCAGACTCTGGGAGGGCTCATGCCAAGGAATACTTCCCAGAACTTCTGCTGCCAGTGTCCTTGTCCCCATGGTGAGACACAGTCACTGCCCGCCTCTGCAGGAGACCCTCCAACACTAGCAGGTTACCTGCACCACTCGTAGAGCCATTTGTGAGGAAAGCCTGTCACGTGGCCCTGCCGACCTGGCCACAGCTGACTGAATCACAGGGGACACGGGTTCAAGCCCTGGTCCGGGAAGATCCCACATGCCGCAGAGCAACTAAGCCCATGCGCCACAACTACTGAGCCTGCGCTCTAGAGCCCACAAGCCACAACTACCTAGCCCACGTGCCACAACTACTGAAGCCTGCGCACCTAGAGCCCGTGCTCTGCAACAAGAGAAGCCACCGTAATGAGAAGCCCGCACACCTCAACAAAGAGTAGCCCCCTTTCGCCACAACTAGAGAAAGCCACGCACAGCAACGAAGACCCAACACAGCCAAAAATAAATTAAAAAAAAAAAACCTTTATCAGTGACACATTAAAAAAAAGTAAGATGGGAACTGAATAAAAATCGGAGCACAGTTTTACACATATTAGTTGGTCAAGAAATAAATAGATAAAAAGTGCACTAAATATGGCATTTTACCTTGAGAACGTCGTGACATTTCCTGTGGACTGAGGCCCTGGAAGGGTTGCAGTTTATGCGTCACTGTGAAGTGGTGGAAAGAGGGTTACCTGAAATCAGAAGGAAAGTTGGGGCACCCAGCTTGGAGGGCTGTGGCTCGGCACATGTCGGGGGGACTGAGATCGCCAACAGATATTTGAGGCGTGGGTTTTGTGCCTTTTGTGTATCCTTAGACAGCTGGGTTCCGCCCCGTGCAATCTTCTGCTATTACCTAATGTTTCTTGCAGTGAAATCATACCTAAACAAATGTGAAAATCAAGTTACGCTCAAGTTGCTCCCTACTGTATCAACCTTGGAACAAACATGAGTGTTATAGGAGAACTGAGTGTACTGTGTGGCACCAGGGTGATGTCTAGGGGATATTTCTGCTTGTCTCTATCCTAAATGGAGTTAATACATGTAAAAACACTTAGAGAAGAATCTGGCTTGCGAGTGGATACTGTGTAAGTGTAACAATAACATTGTAACAGTAATAGTAACTCTAAACTGTAACAGTAACAATGACAGTAATAATAAATGATGACTATTGATGCCTGTGGGATTCTGACTGCCTACCGTGGCAGTGCTTCCTGCCTCCTCCTAAAGGACCTATTTCTCAATCTCTTATGGCTTTTAAATGAATTTATCACGCTTCTTAGAATTACATCTAACGTGCGGCCCAGTGTGGGAGAGGCTGACAGGTGCACAGACTTTAGGTTATGGTGTACCTGTGGCATCTGTTACACTTACTTAAACTCGTTTATCTTATGAATGATGTATTACCTATGTATTCATTCACAGCATTGTTGGGGGAAGTAACTTATGTTTTAAGTGAGATTATCATCATGCAGAATTTTCGGATTTTCTGTTTTATTAGAAAAAAATTGGGACTTCCCTGTTGGCGCAGTGGTTAAGAATCTGCCTGCCAATGTAGGGAACGTGGGTTCAAGCCCTGGTCCGGGAAGATTCCACATGCCTCGGAGCAACTACGCCCGTGCGCCACAACTACTGAGCCTGTACTCTAGAGCCCTTCGGCCACAACTACTGAGCCTGCGTGCCACAGTTACTGAAGCCCGTGCACCTAGAGCCTGTGATCCACAACAAGAGAAGCCACCACAGTGAGAAGCCCGTGCACCTCAACGAAGAGTAGCCCCCCCCCGTTCGCCGCAACAAGAGAAAGCCCGCGCAGAGCAACAGAGACCCAGTGCAGCCAAAATAAATAAATTTATTTTTTAAAAAAAGTTAACACGCCTCTCTCTTCTCATTCCCACCTGCAAAAGTGAAGTGTGCTTCAATGGGTACATCTGAAGGGCATTTACAAGTTGTTGATGAATTTCTTTAAGTTGTTATTGTTCACTTCTATTTACAACTGCTTCAGTGTTTGTGAGATGAGCTCATCTTTGGAAGGTGAGGCAAGCGAGTGTGATTTCGGAAGACCTTCCCTCCCAAGTCACAGTATAATTAGAAGTCCACATCCTCCCTAAGTTGCTTTTTAGAACTCCCTGAGAAGGACATTTTTATCGTGAATGGTTGCCAAGAAGGCTTGCTGATTCCGGCTTTAGTAACTTTAATTAGATGACAGATCAAAACACCATCTAGATTTAGCAAGTCTTGTTAGTATTGTTCTGAAAGAAAAGAAGCTAATATAGCTCATCATTTAGATATTCCAATGAAATCTGTATTTTAATTATGCAGAGACTGTGAATAGCAATGGGGTGTTTTGATTTTTAATTTCTAATCTGACTTTGAATGTTAACTTTTTGTCTCTACACAATTTCTAGATATATTCGGGCTGCCTGACCTCATTGAGTGATTGCTATTAATTAACAAGACTTTGTGGGAAAAGGGAAATTGCCTTCTGAGCTTTGTACCAAAGACCTGGGAAAAGTAAGTAATTTTCTAATTTGCTTTTTAAAAACTTTGTTACATTTCTCTCAGAAAGTTAACAGTTTGTCTGTGGCTTTTCTACTTCCTTTCTTTCCTGGCTTTGTAAGTTTTATATGCTCTTACAGACTTGAAACATGGAAAGGGACTCAGGAGACCTTTAAAAAAAAATAAAACAACGTTTCAGGAGATGAGGATGACTTTCTGCAAGTGCCATTTCTTTGTGATTTCATAAACTGAGTCCTCAAGGTTGTGATAAAACCTTTATTAGGTGTTCAGTAGATGAATTAAACTCTAAAGGTAAGACAGTGTAATATGGTGTGACAGAAAAGTGAGTCCAGTTTTCTGAGCTTCAGGAGTTTTAGACTTTTAGATAAGCTCTTTGGTTCTGAATTTTTTAGAATAAGAATGTAATCCATTTGGTTCTTTTCTTGTCTGGAAAGGAAAATAAAATGTGGAATCACTTGTTCAATAAGTCCCTCATGTAGCTTGGTTTTGGAAGAATTGATGCATCTGTCAGTTTTATTGTTTTATAACTTTTTCGAGAAACTCTAAGATAGTTTAATTGAGAAACCTGTGTAAATGGCTTGACTATCTTGTAGAAAAAATTGTTTGGCGCCATAAAGTTCAGTTTATTTCCCTGATCTTTTTGAAGAGAAAGGTAAAATGGGCCCTAAAAGTAATACAGTCTACTTTTTTGTAGATAGTACTTGGAAATGTGAGTGGCCCATAAGAATGTAAGCGAAACAACACACATACACATACACACGCATTCACACACACCTCCTTTCTGGTGTATTCCAGAAGCAATGTCATTGACAGTAGGAACTGTTTGCTCATTAAATCACTAGATAGTTTTCTAAACTTTGTATTCTTTGTGTATTGCAGCTCCTCTACATTTCTGACAGTACAAATGAGATAGTTGAAACATTCCTAAAACAAAACAAGACAGAAAAGAACTATACTCTAGAAGTTCCATAGAAGCATTAAACAGTAAGATCAGATTTTATTGTTATATTGTTTGTAGTGTAAATTTATTTAGAACTAAATTGTGTGTTATTTGAAATAATTTTAATAAGGTAAGGGTCTTTAATTATGAAGCTGTTTTGAAGTTAAATAAGATGTACTGAAAAAATATTACATACACACACGGAGTATACACACACTACGAAAACAGTTTCTGAGAGCCATCAAGTCTCTGCTAAAATATAAATCCAATGAAAGCAAGGACTTCGAAAATTTTCTCCAAAAACATTTTTTTTTTGTTACAGTGAAACATTTGCAGTAGTGAAATACTATTGTCAGTGGAATTAAAAAAAAATGATAGCAATATATTTAGTTGAATTTTTTAGCCTTGTATTCACATATTAACCTTAAAATAAAGGATATTTATTCCATCCTGGAAGGATATTTGAAAGAGGATTATGTTGGAAGTCACCAGTCTGTCCACAGAAGTAGAACGAAAAGAGCAAAAGATTAATTCTCTGGCCATTAGGATCTCAATATTTGCAGTGGTGTTTAGATTGGAAATACAACTTAGCCCCAGAAAGTGAGCTACTTAAACTGCCTTTCAAATAATTTAGCATTTCTTTAAAATTTAATATAGTCCCTGGTGAAATATTTTTCTTCCATTACACCAAAATATTCCCTTTGTGATATTGCTGTAAAAGTTAGTTTTCCATTTTGTAGAAGCAAGGCATCAGTAGGACTTTTGATCAGCACAGTAAGCTAAAGACAGTCCCTGTGTTACCAAAGGGACTATGGCAGAAGGATCCCTGCTTACTGAAACTGATGTCATAGGTGAAAATTTATATGCACAGAAGGATGTTCACAGTTGACTTTTAAGTTAAAAAGAAGGTGGTTATAATGCGTAAGTATGCTCTGTATAAATCTAGTGCTGAAGAACTAGTTATATGGAAGTAAACATTAAGGGAGAGGGCAGAGTGGGGGGAGATGGAGGGAAGTCCCTTCTGAAATTTACAAAAGTCACAGGTGAATGTTTCTGACAGTACTTTGAAAACTGTAAGGGGTACTTAAATGAATTGGTGACTTATTTTGGGGGAGGTTAGTGCAATTTTAGGGAAAATTCAGAACCCTAAACAACCACCACACTTCCTTTTTTTTTTTTTTTTTTTTTTTTTTGCTGTACGTGGGCCTCTCTCTGTTTTGGCCTCTCCCGTTGCGGAGCACAGGCTTCGGACGCGCAGACTCAGTGGCCATGGCTCACAGGCCCAGCCGCTCCATGGCATGTGGAGTCTTCCCGGACCGGGCACGAACCCGTGACCCCTGGATTGGCAGGCGGACTCTCAACCAGTGCGCCACCAGGGAAGACCCCACACTTCCTTTTAACTCCCAGTTTCCTCTACTTTTAGTTTTTTCTTAATCACAAATATGTTTTCAAAGACTTCCTTGTTTCAAGTGTTTTATTTAATTGTTTGAAGTAGGTTTGTGGAAACTTGAGTCTATAATATTGACAAAATGTGGATGCACTTTTGAAAAATTAGCCATGGATTATTTTAAAAGAAGTAGAAAATAGCTTGTATTTTATTATCCTGTTTAATACATATTTATGTTTATTTTTATGTTAATACTATCAGAGTAGTATATGCTACAAATTATTTGGTATCCTTTCTTTTCCACTTAATAAATAATGAATTCCCATGCTAATAAATATTTGTCTACAATATCATTTTTAGTGAAAGAGAAACAATTGAATCTTAGCTTTTTGTTTAATTTTAGGTGATCCTGGCTTTCAGTTAGAAGGGAGTATAAATATGTGAAATATATGGTGTGGGTTTTTCATCTGTGAGCAGAGAATAGACTAGGATTCACCTTCTACAATCTCTACTGTGTTTACTGTAACCAGACATGTTCTGAACAGGAGGCTTGTGGGACTAAATATGTGTTCAAAATGGTAAATGTCACTGTTTGACAGGTACTGTGTATAAAGCTTGTGTCTTCTTTGGTCCCTTTGTTATATTACAAGAGTGCAGGTGACATCCTCCTCCCGCTTAGCTGTCTTCATCAATATTTCTGTGCCTAAGGAAGGATTCTACCCATGTATTTCTTCCTCCCAAGAAGCTCTTAATATCTCAGATGAGGTGATGGGTACAGAAGGAACGTTTCATAGACTTCGGAATATAATTTATTGGAGCAAATTGAAATCCAAATTAATTGGAGATGCAAAATGTATTCTAGACTTTGCATACCTTCTCAATTTTAGGTTCATTTATTAAGCCAGCATTTTTTGCACAACTACCATGTGCCAGGCACTGTGTTAGGAGCTCCTTATACAGAGATGAATGAGATATGCTCTTGCTTTCAGGGAACTTAATTTGAGTTTCAAATTCAGATTCAAATAACATGTATTCAGTGTGTATCATGTGATATTCTGGATATATTCAAATGAGGCGTTTGACCACTAACATTCAGTAATGATATTCATTGACGCACCCCTTCCAAAATAAATCATGAATAGAATTTTCTAATCCTTAAGGGTTTTTTTTTTCCATTATATTTTCCTGAACTTTTGGTACCTGCTACTGCTTGTTAAGTTAAATTAGCAAATAGGGGAAAAAAAGTTAATGAATAACAAACATTTAATCAATAAACTGAGAACAGTGATTTAAAAAACGTGTGTATATATTTGTACACACGTGTACACACACGCACACATAATATGTGGGAAGCAGTATGTATATAATGCAGTTGTAATTTCTCCTAGTAGAATGATTCTTGGTTCATGTGGTACAGTTAAATATACCGGGATTTCTGATATTCTGCCCGTAGACTGGCTCCGCTGTCTGAACAAGTGTGGAAGTCATAGGAGTGAGTTACTAGATTGTCACAGTAATTCTTAGGGTAGGGATTACTGAAACTCGGCGGAAAGTAACTCTCCAGCATTCACACGGCTAGAAAAGGTTTGAGTTAGGATTCTAACTGTGATCCACCTAACTTTAAAGCCCATGAGGTGTCCATCTGACTCTGGTGAGCTTGTAGGGAAGATGGATTCACAAATGCTGTGGGCCTGCTGAGGAAGGGGCGGTCTTCTCCCGAGGAATCAGGAGTCTGTGTGGCATTGGGCATGTTCCCCATTTTCTCAAAGTCCATCTCTTCATCTTTAAAGAAGAGTTGGTAGGAGGATCTAGCAGGGCATTGGACCAGAGCAATTAAGGAGCATTGGTAAGAGAAGTAGCTAGGCGTGTGAGTTGGAGAAATAATAGGTCTGGGACTGGAAGCCACTGCTAGCAATTAACCCTGGGAGTGTGCTGGGAATTGTAGGAAGAGTTTTACATATTTCGTCTTATTTAATCCTATATATCAGTTCTGAGAGGTAGGTGTTATCGCCCCATTATAAAGATTTTGAAACTGAGGCTCAGTGAGGTTAAATAACTTGTCTAATGTCACATAGCTAGGGAGTGGAGTGGTCAACACTTGAACTCAGGTCTGTATGACTCTCATGTTTATACTCTTAACCACTGTGCTATGATCAGAAGTAATCCTTTCTGTGTGTCAAACTCCCTTAATACCCTACTTCAGTCTCTCTGATAGTATATTCTGATTTTATCTTTTATTGTTTTTAACTTGAATTGGGTTATAGTTATTTACATAATGTTTAATAGACTGTAAGGTCTTGAGGCCTGGGATCCAGTCTCATTCACTTTTTTTTTTTTTTGTCTTTCATAACTCTTTGCTCAATAAAATTTGCATTGATAAGATGAATAATCTCTAAGATATTTTGTCCCTTGAAATTCAGTGTTTTAAAATTATATATGCAAAGCTTCTGTTGAAGTTATATCAAGTGTTACTTAAATGGGGGTAATTGGATTTTAGTTTGATATTTGTTTATTTATTTATCTATTTAGTTGTTTGATATCTAGATTGATCTCTAAAGTTTCAGGAAATTCCTAATTGCCATTTTCTCTTGTGACTTGCTGTCCAAAACTGAAGCTGAGACTAAAATGCACTTCTTGTAAGCCCTTTTGGAGGCTGTAAAGCTGTGCTTGCTGCTTCATTGCTATGGCAGGTATAAAACTGTCTTAAATGATATTTTTGAGTCCATAAAAAATACTACACCATCATTCATGCAGGTAAGGACCTCAGTTTGTGAAAATACGTGGAGCCCTTGTGTTGACGGTTACTCCTGTTGGTCCTGGCTGGTTTCAGATTTAGACAACAAACAGAAGTACTTTTCTGGTTCAGGGCATATTATGGGAGACCGTTCAGGTCAGTCTGCCTAGGTTTGCACCCTAGTTTCTTGGTTTATGAGCTCTGTGACTCATGACAAGAAAGCATCTGTGAAAGGAAGATGGATAAGAAAACAGGTTGTTATAATAGGTTCGTGTACTTGGTTCACTGGGAATTTAGGGAAAAAATATCCGTATTCAGACGGGAGCCACTTTTGCTCAGACACTCTTTAAAAGGAGGCCAAAACTGTGAGCTCGTAGGACAGAACTTGACGGTTCAGTATTACAGCCCGTGTTTATCCCTAACCCTTTGCTGTTTTTAAACCAGAGTTCACGTTCTCTTGTAACTACTGCATTTATTTTCCTGAACTCTAAGGAGGTAGTTTAGGCTTTGCTTCATGTTCCGTATGCTGGAGGAGAGTAGGAAACGACGTCTTTTAAGAAAATAGAAAATGTTACTCAAGATCAACATTGCCTCTGGGCTTTGAAAAACTCTGGGGTTTCTTTCATCTTCCAAGAGAGCTGTGAGGAAGGAAAGCAAACCCTGGGGAAGTTTCATAGCTTGTCTCTGCCGCTGTTACTGGAAAAGGGGAAAGTAAGGGCCCGTAAATAGCTGTCACGGTCGCAGTTGATGGCAGGTTCAGGTGTGCTAGAAATAAAGCACAGGGAGCTGCTTATTCCCACGGCTGCTGCTTGGCCTGACAGCAGGAGAATGGGTTCAGAACGTGGCTCTACAGTGAAAACAAAATGTCCCGTCCATCACAGGCATACATTTCATAAATTTCAAGTCGCACAAAGATTCATGAT